TTATGTATTTGTTGTGTTCTATCTAGTTGGTTTCAACTCAAAGTGACCAGTATAGGGTTTCCAAGAACAGCTGGTAGGTTTGAACTACTAACCTTGCAGCTAACACAGGAGTCCAGTGCTTATCTTACAGCGCCTCACCAGGGCCCATAGTATACATACATATGGTGCTGTAGGATAAGTACTAGACTAGTAACCACAACAAGATCAGCAGTTCAAACCCACCAGCTGCTCCTCAGAAACCCTGTAAAGCGTCACGGTGCCTTAGAACTGACTCAGTAACACTTAACATGTCTAAATAATAAAAGTATCTTTTGTGTGTTTTAAGCTATATGTTTATGTATGTTTCTTGCAATTGGCATTTTCTCTCAACATAGTAAAGATTCATCCGTGTTAATACATGTACCTCTAGTATTTTTCATTTTCAATTTTATCAATTGTGTTTAAATTATTACTGTTATTTCTGATAATATCTGATAGAATCTGAACATGTATGAAAAATTGTAGCAATAATTGGTGGCTCGGGAGTCTGTAAACTACAGAATATGGACCAAATCTGGTCTGCCACCTTTTTTTCTTTCCTGACTTTTAAGTTAAGAATGTTTGTCATAGCAGTCATCCAAGGTACAACAGTTATCCAGTGTTCACCCGAGCAACAGGAAGAGTCAGATACAGAAGGAAGAAACGGAATTTGTAATCAAGTGCCTCCTTGAACAACTGTCTCCTTTGCCATAAAATTAGAACAAAATGGTGCCCAGCTACCACCATAACTGAACATTTTCATCAAAGATTCTGTCAACAGAATTCTGGTCAAAAAGCCAGGGCAGGGGGGATGCATAAGAGAATGTCAAATTCTTGTGGTATTCAAGTTTTCTGGAACCTTGAAAGCTGAGTGAATCCCTGTAACTATTGCTCTGAAATAATCCTTAAACTGTAAACGAAAAAATATCCCCTGATATTTTTTAGAACCAAACAGTAGTTTAGATTAACTAGTAGAGAAAGCATGCCTTAACATTGCACTCTTAAGATCTATTCATATGGGATCAAATTGACCACAGCAACTCAAATGATTAAATAGGGAACCTGGAGGCAGTGAGTCAATTTTCAGGAACTACTAAGTAAAGGAAGGTGAGAATGGTTGCACAATTAGAATGAAATCAGTGTCACAGAATTGTACATGTGAACATAGTTGAATTAGGTGTGTTTTGCTGTATATATTCGCAACAATAGCAAACTATTTTTAAAGTCATTTAAATGGTTGAAAAATATATATTAGTGATAATTCAAACCTAAGTTGAGAAGAGTAAAGTTTTATTGGAATACATACATACTCATTCATTTACATATGTGGCTATTGTGATTATGATGTGCCATGGAGTCGGTTCCGACCCATAGCAACCCTGTACAGGGGTTCCAAGGCTGTAAATCTTTACGGGAGTAAAAAGCCTTATCTTTCTCCTGCTGAACAGTTGGTAGTTTCGAAGGGCTGTCCTTAAGGTTTGCAGCCTGATTCATAACCACTACATATTCTATAAAACAGCAGAATTGAGTAGTGTAACGGATTTTTGGCCTACAAGCTTCAAATTTACTGTTGCCCACACCTACTCTAGCTAGATAATGCTATCTTTCTCTAGAGAGGATTTATTTATGCTAGTCCCTTAGAGTATCAAGACTACCTTAATCCATTCAAGTATTTAGTTGGTCCAAAGCTGGCTTTTAAATGTTTCAAGGGTTGGCCAATTTCTGGATCACCTCTAGCCTAACAGGGATTCTCATTTTATTTGCTCTGAAATAATCAAAACTCATTCTTGATGAGCTAGTACGAGTCTTTTTTTTTTATCTCTGAGTTGTTTTTTCTCCCTTCATACTTCCTTCCAATACAAGCTTTTCCAATAGCTTGCCACTTCATTTAGAACAAGCCAGATCCTTGTGGTTATGTTCTAGGCCTTATATGATCTGAATGACTTACATCAAAGAGACTAAAAACAGGCCTGAAGAGGCACAGACTGAAGAAAGCACATGTTTTTTTCTGTTTTCATTATTTTTAAGCTGCAGTATAATTACAGGAAACTGATGGATTTTAAGTGTTAAGTGAGTTCACAAACATCTTTGTACCAATACTTCTGTCAATATGAACATTTCCATCAAATTAGAATTTTCAACTTACCATTTCCACTTAGTCTTCCACAGATGCAAACACTTTTGATTTTTATCCCCAAAGATTATGTTACATTTTTTAATTGGAAATTATATCACTGCCATGGTTATAATGATACTGCCATAAACTTTTAGACTGCTAATGTATTTTCACTGTTCAAATTTCACTCACTTCTCTGGATCTTACATTCTTGATTTTTGTAAGGCCAATCAATGTCAGTCTGTTAGTCTAATTTATAGCCTCTAAAACCTCTTTAGGAGTCCTGGTGTGGCACTGTGGGTTAATGTGCCAGACTGCAAGGTCGGCGGTTCAAGCTCACCAGTAGCTCTTCGGAAACCTTGTATAGGGTTGCTATGGGTCGGATCCGACTCAATGGCACTTAACAACAACAAGACCTCTTTAGGAGTCCTGGTGTGGCACTGTGGATTAACGCATCAGACTAAAAAGTTATTTGAACTGCAAGGTTGGTGGTTCAAGCTCACCAACCGCTCCTTGGAAACCCTATACAGGGTTGCTATGGATCGGAACCAAGTGAATGGCACTTAACAACAAGACCTCTTTAAAAATGTTGAAGAGCAAAGATGTCAGTTTGAGAAATTCAGTGTGAGGCGCCTGACTTAAAGCCAGGGTATTTTCAATGACCTCATATGCATCCAAAGAGAGGTGACCCAACAGAATGCGGAAATCATCGGACAATCTCTGATGTCTCAAGCGAGTAAAGTTTTGCTCAAGGTAATACAGAAACGGCTACAATCATACATTGACAGAGAACTTCCAGAGGTTCAAGCTGGATTCAGAAGAGGC